GGGGAACTTGCTCCCATTTGGGTGGCCGGCCCCGGGGAGCGTTGTGGGCGCCCCAGCGGCGGCCTGTCGGACTGTGAAGGAGGTGTGCCCTGGTCGGGGACAGGGTCCCCATTGGGAAGGCTGGGATTGGGGTGAGGAACGTCCCCTTGGAGAGGGTTGCCCCCGTTTGGGGTGTTCTTTCTTGTTCAGGGAGATGCCTGATGTGGGGGTGCCCCAGCCGCGAGCGTCCCTGACCACCCCAAGCTCCATGCCCTCTAAGCGCTGGCTCAGGCCACCCGCTCCCCTGTATAGTACTATACTTGGCATGTGGGATTCAAAATGAGCTTTTGGCCCAGCTGGCGTGGCTCAGTGGTTGAGCATCCACCGATGAACCAGGAGGTCACAGGGTGATTCCCAGTCAGGACATATGCCTGGGTTTTGGGTTCGATCCCCAGTGTCGGGGGGGGCCGGAGGCAGCTGATCAATGATTCTCGTCGTTGATGTTTCTATCCCTCTCCCTCCCTCTCTGAAATCAATAAGTATATTTTTTAAATGAACATTTGTTCAGTGAATGATACGAAGAACAATCCTTTACCAGGCAAATACCAAAAGAAGTGAACTGTCAGAAGTAGGCTGCACTCCTGTGTGGGACCATGCGGGCAGCCTGCCCCAGTCCTCGGGACCCCTGGTCACATGTCAGGCGCTGTGCTCTGCAGGTGACAGGTTAACTCTAACCATCAGGTCGGTCAGGAGGGACAGGTCACTGTTCTTGCCCACTTTCTGTGAACCAGCAAGGCAAAGCAAGGGAGCTGTGTTCAAGGCCACACAACTGTCTCAAGCAGCAGTTCTCAACCTGTGGGTCGCGACCCCTTTGGGGTTCTAACGACCCTTTCACAGGGGTTGCCTAAGACCATCGGAAAACACATATATAATTACATATTGTTTTTGTGATGAATCATTATGCTTTAATTATGTTCAATTTGTAACAATGAAATTGGGGGTCACCACAACATGAGGAACTGTATTAAAGGGTCGCGGCATTAGGAAGGTTGAGAACCACTGGTCTAGAGGCAGAGATGCGATTTGAACCCGTGCGGACTCTCCTTTCAACTGAGGCTACAGCCTCTAGCAGATGTTAGATTATCCTGTTGGTGGTATACTTTGTGCTTTTTCACCCGCTTCTTGTCCTACAAATAATATTTGGCCGTGTGCATGGCTGCCCGATAAAGAGCACATTTCCCACAGCAAATGGTGGGTGGCCAGTGGGATGTGTGCAAAAAGGATCATCTACCAGCCTGTCCCCCCAAAAGCAGGAGGGGGGGCAGGCCCAGAAAGCTGGGTGAGGGGTGGAACCTGGACCAGAGAATGACAGCCACACCACCAGGCCACATCCCCCCTCTGGACTGCTAAATGTTCAAGAAGTCAACTTGGCATGGGAGCATGGGGGCATGGGGACTGGACCTGTCCCTTCCTAGGCCCATGAGTTTGCTATGATTAAGGTAGCAGACCCGTGGCCACCCGTCACCATATGGCAGAGCCAGACTCTGAACCCAAGCCTTCACCCCACCTCCCGGTTTCCCAAACTTGGTTCCAGGACCACTGGCAGGCGGGCAGGGCTGGGAAGGTCAGCAGATGCCCCTTGGGAAACATCTCTCTGCAAAACCCTGGCTCCGCTCGCGGGTTCCTCGATTCCTAGGTGACAGCCCTTGGAAACACAGGCCGCAGGAGCAGGCCCGCGCTCCCACTTGGAAGGAGGCAAGCAGCGGCCTGTCAGACGTGGCAGTAGCTCCAGCAGCAACGTGACACTTGAGGCCGAAGCTAAGGGCAAACCCGCCCCTTCGCCCCCGCGGGACCTCCTCCGGCGCAGATCTGAACTGCGCCGCCTGGACGGGTGGGTGCCGGCCGGGCCAGCCAAGGTGCGCGCACAGGAGGCACCGGTGGCCTCGGGACTAACGCCTGGGCTCCACGGGAAACCCAGCTCCCAGGGCTGGGGGAATGCGCCCGGGAGGGAGGGAGGGAGGGACCTAGGAGAAGGGGCGCGTCCAGGAGGGTAGGGGCAAGAGGGCCAGGTGCCCGGAAGGGGCGGGGCGCAGAAAGGGGCGCGTCCCGGAGGGGAGGGGCGAGAGGGCCAGGTGCCCGGAAGGGGCGGGGCTAGTGGCGCCCTG